GGCATTACGGGAGAATAATGCCCTACAATTCAGTGACAATTAACCAATCAGAGCGCGCGTTATATCGGCCACAAGCCAAAGCCATATAATAAGTAGTTAGTATTGTTAGTAGCGTGAGTATGCGTATTGTATGGTGTAGGTGTTAGTATCGTAAGTAGCGTAAGTAATAAATTTTTGTAAGTAGTGTAAGTAACTACATTAATGTTGTATTGTAAGCAGTGTAAGTAGCAATTGATTTAAAAAAAAACTTTCTTCTTGAAAATAAATAATGTTTTTACTGTATTAATGGGGGTCTGGAACCTAGACGGAAAACATCTGCAATAGAAATTTAAGACGTTTCAAACGGAAACTGTCTGCAAAGAGACATAATGGAAAAGCTTTCCTAATAAAGTAAAAGCTTTTCACTGCTGACATTGTTCAATGCTGTCTGCAACTCCAGAATAAACAAGGTCCCCTTAACTTTACAACGGCAGTCAATTTGGCAGACGCCAAAATGTGAAAATGGTCCCATTGGATGTTGTGACCAGTTGTTTTAACGTGATCAGCAATAGCAGAAGAGTGATCACGTTTCGAAAGGGCCTTGAAATGTTCCGTTTTCCGGTAGTGAAGTCTTCGTTTCGTTTTCCCAATGTAAAAATCATTGCAGTCCCAGCAACTAGCTTTATAAATGACTTCGGATAATTGTGATCGGTTGAGACGATCCTTGTATGGGAAGAAGGATTTGTTGCGCCGGGTGTTTTGAAAAATAACTTTGACATTAACAAAAAGAGTAGAAACGATTGACACAAGATTTTGGACGCTCAGTAATATGATTGCTTTGCCATTCTCGTTTTTGCTCAACGAGAATGTCCAAAAACGGAATCTTTTTGGCCTGTTCAAATTCAATGGTGAAATTGATGCTATTGTGACGGCTGTTGAGGTATTATTTTACTGTTGATATCTACCTATGAACATATATTTTGTGAAAAAAGAAAACTTTTCGGTAGAAAAAGTCACTCTAGATGTTTTTAATATCAATTTTTCTACTAGCACTTTTTTATGGACTTTATTCCAATTAGTGTGGGAGTTTTCCGCATTAAAAGTTTTTGCTATTCTCCACCTACAAGAGAGACACACCAAGGCAACTTACATATAGTGGAACCTGTGGTAGTTAAATGGCAGCTTCCCGTAGGATGCTGATAATTTACAATATCAGCTCAGCAGTCAGATGATGATCTCGTGTTCTCTATGGCAGCTACATGCAGGTATCTGTGGTACATATCATTTTGCTTTGTTTTATCCCTTCTTTCGATTTAAAAAACCGTTTACAAACCGTTTCATAAAACCGTTTTTTAAACTGTTCCTGTGTTATACACGAGCCCGTCTGCAAATTAAAATTTGCCTCTAAAAGTCCAAAGAAAATTATCTTCTTCAGAATTTCGTTTCTGAAGTTCTTTTCAATTTTTCCATGCCATCTCTAAGGCTTGTTTCCCTTCTTCCATGTTTCTTTGATAATCTTATACGAAATAAAACAGAATAAAGCTTGTCATCATGTTAGGGGCATCTGCAGATACGATTACCACTCTCCTAAAGCATTAACAGAAAAGCTACTATCATAACTTTCTTATTTATTAATTATATAGATATAGTATAAGATGCCGGAATAACCAGTGTTAGAATTTTCCTTTGCCAAGTTAAAAAAAGGTCGGTTTTTTTTGTGTTTTGAAAAAAACAATCGAAATGTAAAGTAAAATTCCGTGTAGCAACAATCCATTGAACAGATGTCATCTGAAGGATAAGAACATGCAAAATTTTAGATAAATTAATTGACTGAGACAAAAACAAAATGTTCTCTTTCTCCAGGAAAGATCTTGCCACACCGAACTGCGAAGATCATTCTTGCTAGCTTAATCCTCACAGTTCGCCCTAACACCGTTTCCCCACAATGTGGTTTCAGCATGTGCCTCTATCTAACACGTCTGACTTTTCGACTGCCTCGTTTACATTTCGACTTCCTCTGGGTTGGAAAAAAATATTGCTTTTGCAAGTGATGTACTCGATCCTTCAAAAACTTCGGAAGATTTTACTAAGGCAAAAGCTCGCCAAAGAATTAGCCAATGCAAAATGTCGGTCACTATGACATTTTAACAAGGCGACTAGCCTGATACATCTGCCATATTTAAGTCATATACATAATAGGTAGGCGAGCTTTTAAACCAAATATTGAATGACGTTTAATTTATGGTTTGCAATCATCAAACGAAGAGAGGTTTAAATGCACCTCTCGGAAAGTCACGACCCATGATGGAGAAAGTCTACAGGGAGTTAGTTGTACATGGGCCGGAAGGAAATAAAATTGAAAAACGCTTAAGATGGTCGGAATGAAATTAAAATAAAAAAGACATTAATATACATTGTTTACTCTTAATTTATACCAAAACTTCGGCGCGGGCTACCGAAACGAGCCATGGGTTCTTTGTAACTTTGAAGAAGATCAACACATTTTGATGCCATAGTGGTTAAGGAGTGAGATCCCTTTCGGTGGAGAAAATTGTTCTCATTGATTAATTTGTGTTTTATGTTTCGCTCAGACTCGAGGGTTGAAAAACGGTTAACATTTTACGACACTTGAGGCTTGACTAGTTAAAACGCCATCGACACCTTCATTTGACAATTAAACAAAAAGCACGAACTTTTGCAGTTTGATTGATGTTAAAAGTGAGTGAGATCTCCAACGGACCTGTTCTTTTGCCATCTCAAAACAGTCAGATATACATGTATAAATAGAGAGCTTGAAACAAACCAATTTAGTGAATACTGTCAAGTAAAACTCCATTGATTTAAACTACGAAGAAATTAATGCACGAGCTTTAGGCTTTAGCTTCGAATTTTTTTGACGCTTTAATTAATATACGCATTTCGCCGCGCAAAAAATGAAAGAAATTGAAAGACCCACTGAAGAATCCTGTATACATTAAGGTATAAGAATAGTTTTCGACTGAGGGCCCGTCCACACTACGTCAGCGGTTTCACTCTAAACAACACATCAAATGTTTTCCGTCCATTTTACGCCGGAGGAATTTATAAACGCGGCAGTCACCGGTCATTATGGATGTGTGTTTCAGGAAAACTCGGTCAGAGAAATCACATGATTATCGTGACGCCATTGGTTTCGAAGAGCTCCGTTTTTTAAATGTTTTCAGTCCTTACGAAAACGAAAAGCGGGCGTTTTCAAATTCCTCCAATTTGAGGAGCGTTTTCGAAAAGCTCCGTTTTCGTGACGGATTAGTGTGGACGGTAGGCCTAACCACAGAAATAAAGCTGTGCTTTCAAATTTCTCCGGCGTAGTGTGGACGAGGCCATAGAATTGAAACGTGCGCCATTTTGCTCTAGCACGTTCTGTGATTGGTTAGTATAGGAGAATCTTTGTTTACAATATTTGCCTCATTACCATAAGCGATACAGTTTCTGATGGAGCTACAAAGAGATTAATACTGAATATTGAAAGGG